TATTTTGTCACTATTTGTTGCTTCCTTGTTTATGAAGGACTGGAAAAAAGCTTCTGATCACTGTATAAGCAATAGTTTTAGCTGTCACGGATGGGTTTCCACCTCTTGCTTATGGTTGTGATCTGTGATTGTCTACAGCTAATCACATGGTACAGGTAACCAGGTCCAACACAACAAACACTTTACTCCTGCGCTAGGAAAGGACTCAGTAGACCCAATAGGAATGTTCTGGAATTTTCTGGAATTTGCACTGCTTGCTGCCCTCAACAGACCGGGGTGGTCCGAATACACTGGATACAAATGGAGAAACAGAAAAAGGGCGCACCGACCTAGTGCATTATCATTTAAAATAATTTATTAAAGAAACAAAAATAGGTATCATACTCACAATGGACATAACACAGGCATGTCAAACTGAACAAGATGTATGATCCAAACAACATCTGAGTCCATTCGATGGAACCCATACCGCTCTGAGGAAGAGGTTGTGTCCTCGAAACGCGTTAGCCAGTTGGTCATCCAGGGTTCAATGCGCCCTTTTTCTGTTTCTCCATTTGTATACAGGTAACCAGGTACTGTGTGCTTTCTGTGGGTCATTCGCAGATTACAACAGTAAGCAAGCTGTTCATGAATGGAAAGCCATTCATGACAGGTTGTTTACATTGCTATCATGATCGCTATGATTAGTCATAGCAATCACATGATACCTGGTTCCATTAATCCACTTAACACAGTGGTCACAGGAGGGGCCCACTGTGCACTCCTAGCCCAGAGCTGACCAGATCACTTCTATATACTGTACGTGGCTGAGCCTGCAAGTGCTAACCTGCCACAGTAAATATACTGTGGCAGGGTGGAAAAATTAGTAACTCCACTTTTATTTAAAAAGAAATAAAAATTAAAATCTGATACTGATTCTTACCTCATCACACAAGCAAGAAATTACATTTTTGGAGACACTCTGTACAATGACTTGTATAGCAATTTCTATGCTATATTATTTATTTAGAATAAATATAAATCAGCACACATATATATATAAAATCCTCAAGAATCCCTTAAAGTCATATCAATATCCTTCCCCTGAAGTACTAATAAAATATATATTCATTGACTTAAACCCAAAAACCCACAATTATAGTGAAAAGATCAAAACCCAAAGAGATTACCCAAAAAATAAAAAATATCAAATATATATAAAATAACAAAAATAAATAAAGTCCCAATATGCAAAGTGTCCAAATAATGTGTCCAAACAAAGATCAATTTCTTGATAGGAAGACGCTTCCTACTCCACTGAAGAAGATGCAAATCAATCACAGGTGCTCTTCAAATACCTCAAAAAACAAAATCTCAACATAGTATATTACCTTTTAAATCCCAGAACTAAAGTGCCACACGTGTATCATGCAAAAAAAAAACACTCCAGTGTCACAGCACTCATGTGAGAGAAAAAAAAAAAAAATTAAATTTTAAATATCACTGCAAACTATATATATAAAGTGCATAATTACCCTAAAACAAACAAATTCCAGTTTGTAATCAACCACATATGTACAGAGTGTCCTTAGATTGGTATCCTCTTGTTCCTCAGGACCTCACAAACAGACCAGGAATCAGTATGTGAATTATAATCATATATAAAATTTATTGTAGCCACTTACATATAAAAACGATAAGATCAGCAAGACAGCATCCAACTCCTCATGCCCAGTATACGATCCCCTTTCCGTGTGTAGAGGGTCTCCCGATCACCAGGTAATTTCCCCCTTGCTACTCCTATCCAGCACTATCACTTTGTAGCTCTGGGGGACACCTGAAGTGCACCGTTACTCTCCAGACCTCAACACACAGGGATTCCAGAATCCAAAATGGCTGCCGCAGCACTTCCGGGAACGTCACGTGCCCTGGACGCGTTTCGTCTCCTCTGGATTTTGTCAACAAGGATACGGACATAAGGTTCCAGTTCTTTAAGTACCCACTCCTAACCTGGCGGAAATACCTCAGCGGCCATCTTACAAAGTGGAAAATTGAGATGAATGACTACCACAGCTGATATACCATGCTAGATAGTCATCCCCACCCCATAGCTCTCATCCCTAAGTTAACCTCAAGCCATACTTCAGTCCCAAGGATAATTAAACCACCTGCAGCCATTTTGGAAACTGAAAGAACAATTTTAAATAACCATAAGGTCGGGGGTAACACCACCCCTTCACCATTGATTACAAAAATCTACAAATAATAAAATCATTCACAAAAATTATAAAATATTAAAGAATATAAGAAGTACATGCTAAAAAAATCTAAATAAAAATAAAAATAAAATAAAATGAAGATAAAAAAAATTAAAAAAAAAAAAATTTAAAATTATAAAAAAAAAAAAAAATTTAATTTAGTTTTTTTTTTTTTTTTTAATAATTTTTTTTTTTTTTTTTTTTTTTAAATTTTTATCTTCATTTTATTTTATTTTTATTTTTATTTAGATTTTTTAGCATGTACTTCTTATATTCTTTAATATTTTATAATTTTTGTGAATGATTTTATTATTTGTAGATTTTTGTAATCAATGGTGAAGGGGTGGTGTTACCCCCGACCTTATGGTTATTTAAAATTGTTCTTTCAGTTTCCAAAATGGCTGCAGGTGGTTTAATTATCCTTGGGACTGAAGTATGGCTTGAGGTTAACTTAGGGATGAGAGCTATGGGGTGGGGATGACTATCTAGCATGGTATATCAGCTGTGGTAGTCATTCATCTCAATTTTCCACTTTGTAAGATGGCCGCTGAGGTATTTCCGCCAGGTTAGGAGTGGGTACTTAAAGAACTGGAACCTTATGTCCGTATCCTTGTTGACAAAGTCCAGAAGAGACGAAACGCGTCCAGGGCACGTGACAATCCCGGAAGTGCTGCGGCAGCCATTTTGGATTCTGGAATCCCTGTGTGTTGGAGGTCTGGAGAGTAACGGTGCACTTCAGGTGTCCCCCAGAGCTACAAAGTGATAGTGCTGGATAGGAGTAGCAAGGGGAATTACCTGGTGATCGGGAGACCCTCTACACACGGAAAGGGGATCGCATACTGGGCATGAGGAGTTGGATGCTGTCTTGCTGATCTTATCGTTTTTATATGTAAGTGGCTACAATAAAATTTTATATATGATTATAATTCACATACTGATTCCTGGTCTGTTTGTGAGGTCCTGAGGAACAAGAGGATACCAATCTAAGGACACTCTGTACATATGTGGTTGATTACAAACTGGAATTTGTTTGTTTTAGGGTAATTATGCACTTTATATATAGTTTGCAGTGATATTTAAAATTTAATTTTTTTTTTTTTCTCTCACATGAGTGCTGTGACACTGGAGTGTTTTTTTTGCATGATACACGTGTGGCACTTTAGTTCTGGGATTTAAAAGGTAATATACTATGTTGAGATTTTGTTTTTTGAGGTATTTAAAGAGCACCTGTGATTGATTTTGCATCTTCTTCAGTGGAGTAGGAAGCGTCTTCCTATCAAGAAATTGATCTTTGTTTGGACACATTATTTGGACACTTTGCATATTGGGACTTTATTTATTTTTGTTCTTTTATATATATTTGATATTTTTTATTTTTTGGGTAATCTCTTTGGGTTTTGATCTTTTCACTATAATTGTGGGTTTTTGGGTTTAAGTCAATGAATATATATTATATTATTTATTTATGTATGTATTTTTGCTATATTTTTTCCAGGAAAGTGGAGTTGCCTTTTCAAAACTACTAATTAAAAAATGTATTTTACATGAAATTCTAGTTCAAGAACATTTGAGATACTAAACCATTTCATCTGTACACACCAAAATGTTATACATACTGTACCCCTATAAATTGTATCTGGTCACTAGAGAACCTGACAGTTAAACCGTTTACACTCACTAAGAATGTAAGATATATATATACTGACAGCAATGTAGTGCTTGGGTCAGTGAAACCTGCTGAGTTTGATGGATGATAATAAACTAGAGACTGAGCACACAATAAACAATATTGTGCTATGATTTTAGAGCATCAAATAGAAGGCCGGATCAGAAATGAGAAGAATTTGTTATACAGAAGTATTTGGTGCACCTTGTTAACGTTTATGTATCCATCAACCTATGAATATGTACTGTAAGTAAAGATTAGAACCTCTTCTGTGATTATAAGTTATTTCATGGTAATATCTGAAATAATTTAAATAGATTTAAAGGTGAACTCCAGTGAGAACTGACAACACACGTCTTATAACCTTGGAATTTCTGTTTTTGGGAAATGTGAGATGCCAATATCTGGAGATGTCAAATTCGTTCAAATGCATAGTGTGGAATTTCTAGCTTGATAACCTTGACAAGTAGAAGTATGGGCGTGTACAGGGGCGGACTGACAACTCATGGGACCCCTGGCCATTAGGGGATCATGGGGCCCCTGTGTCCTTGCCCAAACTCAAAAAAGCCTATGAAAAAGGTACCAGGGGCATCTCATGGGGTCCCCTACTGACTCCGGGACCTCCGGGCAGTGTCCGAGTTTCCAAATGGTCAGTCCGCCCCTGGGCATGTATGCAAACTATATCTGTCATCACTTCCCATTATTTTAACCACTTCCCATCCACCCTATAGCAGAAATATATATATGTGATTTTTCATTTCCAGGTAGGGGACGCACGCGCCCTACCCACGCCGCCATTTTCAGCCACGGCTGTCAATAACCGGGTCCCGGCCAGTGATTACTCTCCGGCGCCCAGTGATCGCTGAGGATCTCCGATGGGGAGGAGAACTGTTTGTAAACAAAACAGTTCTCCCCAGGGGCGGACTGACAACTCATAGGCAATAGGGGATCATGGGGCCCCTGTGTCCTTGCCCAAACTCAAAAAAGCCTATGAAAAAGGTACCAGGGGCATCTTATGGGGCCCCCTACTGACCCTGGGCCCTCAGGCAGTGCCCGTGTTTCCAAATGGTCAGTCCGCCCCTGGTTCTCCCTGACAGCTTGTGCACACTGCTTTGCAGCCATACAAAGCAATGTGCTTACAGTGAAGCACAAACACAAGGCCCAATAGTAAAACACACCCAGCACACAATTAACCCTTTGATTGCCCCTCATGTTAATCCCTTCTTACCCAGTGCCATTAGTACAGTGCCCGTGATTTTATTTTAGCACTGGTCACTGTATTGGTGTCACTGGGGATGTCAGTGACACCAAGTCTGTTCCCCCCAGTGTCAGAATGCCCACCGCAGTCCCACTATGAGTTGCTGATCACTGCCATTACTAGTGAAAAAGGAAAAAGAAGCAGAGCACCATTTTCAAGCAATATGGGGAAGAAAAAGGATCTCTCTGCTGCCAAAAAGAGTGAAATGGTTCAATGCCTTGGACGAGGTATGAAAACATTAGATATTTCATGAAAACTTAAGTGTGATCATCGCACTATTAAGAGATTTGTGGCTAATTCAGAGCACAGACGGGTTTGTGCAGATAAAGGCACATTGAGGAAGATTTCTGCCAGATCCATGCATTGGATCAAGAGAGCAGCTGCTAAAATACCATTACATAGCAGCAAACAGATATTTGAAGCTGCTGGTGCCTCTGGAGTCCCACGGACATCAAAGTGTAGAGTCCTCCAGAGTCTTGCAACTGTGCATAAACCTTCTATTCGGCCACCACTAACCAATGCTCACAAGTAGAAACGGCTGCATTGGGCAGAAAAATACATGAAGACTAATTTTTAAACAGTCCTGTTCACTGATGAATGCCGTGCAACCCTGGATGGTTCAGATGGATAGAGTAGTGGATGGTTGGTGGACAGCCACCCTGTTCCAACAATGCTGCGACGTCAGCAAGGCGGTGGTGGGGTCATGTTTTGGGCCGGAATCATGGGAACAGAGCTGGTCAGCCCCTTTAGGGGCCCCATAGGTGTAAAGATGACCTCTGCAAAGTATGTGGAGTTTATGACTGACCACTTTCTTCCCTGGTACAGAAGGAAGAACTATGCTTTCCGTAATAAAATCATCTTCATGCATGACAATGCGCCATCTCATGCTGCAAAGAATACCTCTGCATCAATGGCTGCTATGGGGATAAAAGGAGAGAAAGTCATGGTGTGGCCTCCATCCTCCCCTGACCTCAATCCTATTGAGAACCTTTGGAGCATCCTCAAGCAAAAGATCTGAGGGTGGGAGGCAGTTTACATCCAAACAGCAGCTCTGGGAGGCTATTCTGACATCTTGCAAACAAATTCAAGCAGAAACTGTCCAAAAACTCACATGTTCAATGGATGCAAGACTTGTGAAGCTGCTATCAAATAAGGGGTCCTATGTTACAATGTAACGTGACCTGTTAAAATGTTTAAAAAGTTAAAATGTTGTTAAAAGTTTGATTGAAATAGCTTTTGATTTCAGTAAATATGCTGCAAACACAACAAATGACAATTTTCAGTTCTTTACAACCTATAAAGCATTTTGAAACTTACTGTGCGGAATAATTTGGAACAGTGCATTGGAAGTGTTTTATGTTTAACAAAATCCTGTTATCATTAGGAGGTTTGTTCAATAAAATTTGAATTGTACTCCTAATAGTTGATAACATGAGAATCATGCTGACTGTTATTTACATCAATTATTTAGGTAAAATGAAAAAATATCATTTGCATAATAATTTGGAACATGGTGTGTATATATATATATATATATATATATATATATATATATATAATTTTTATAATTTATTTATTTATTTATTTTTTTACAGGGTATGAGTGTCAAATATTGCTTTGATGGGATCCTCTGAAATCTTCATCCTGGCAACAGGCATTTTTAAAGTGTCTACTGCAAAACTATGATACAAGAGACTTACGAATATTGTATTAGTTCGATCACTAAACCTGTCTGCTTCACCATTCAGTGAATTACAGAATTCCATTCAATTGTACCTTTTAGTTTTGATGCATACACTTAAATGTGTAATTTAAGTAATTTAAAGTGATACTAAAGGAAATTTTTTTTTTCAAGTAATAAACATGTTTATATTTATAACAAAAAACTGTGCATCGTTCAAGCTGAAAACATGTAATATAAAAAACACAAAATTCAAAACCTGAAAAGTCCATAGAATGCTGATGACTGGCACCCAATGCGTGAAATAGTGAGAAAATCGATGATCCTCTTCCCCAATGCGTGTAAATAAAATCGCCATGTGCAAAACACCAGTAAATCAAAAGGCTTACCAGAAGCCCTGTGACCCTCATAAGAGGAGTCAACACAGGCTTTAAAGACTGAATCCACAGCCGCCAAACGATCATCAATATATGTGAGACTTAAACGTCAATTCTTCACCCATAAATGGGTAGTAATGACATGACACTCACATATAGGAGAAAAGAAAGGGCTCCAATAGTGTAAATCCGATAAAATATGTATTAAAAGAAAGGTATAAAACTCCCATGGAGATCTTGTATAACAGGCAATCAAGATAAAGCTCTGCCAGGCTTCTTGCGCTGATGATCCACCAAAAGCAGGACCGCGCATGCTCAGGCCGTCACGTCGCGTACCTGCGCATGTCATTACTACCCGTTTATGGGTGAAAAAGTTGAAGTTTCAGTCACACATCTATTGATCGTTTGGCTGCTGTGGTTTCAGTCTTTAAAGCCTATCTTGACTCCTTTTTATGAGGGTCAGAGGGCTTCTGGTAAGCCTTTTGATTTACTGGTGTTTTGCAAGTGGTGATTTCATTTATACATCATTGGGGAAGAGGATCATTGATTTTCTCATTTTTTCACAAATTGGGTGTCAGTCATCAAAATTCTATGGTCTTTTCACGTTTTGAATTGTTTTTTATTTTATACAGTAATTTTTCAACTTTAGCGCTGCACAGTTTTGTTATATATTTGAGCAATATAGTGTATCCTATATTTGGTGCCGGCAGCTATGTTCTTTCACTTATTGTTAATATGCTATGCACAAATTTTCATTGGTAGCTCAGCTTTTTTTATATATATATATGTGTGTTTGTGTGTGTTTGTGTGTATATGTATGTAGTAAAATTGGAACTAAGCAAGCGCTTAATACAAAAAAAGCAGCTACTGCACTAAAAAGGGAAACCATATACCTTCTAAACAACATATAAATGTGCAGTGCTAAAAATGGATACACGTTAAATGGCTATATCATCTCAAGGAGATATAAAGTGCTTATAGATACAAGGTGCTATTGATCCGGATTAAATATAAAGTGCTATGTGATAACCAAAATGAATAAAGTATTATTTAACAGGAAAAGTATAGTGGTGGGTCATCAAGACAATAAATAAATATAAACATTCAAGTAAATGGAATAAAAAAATAAATACATAATAAAATATAAAAGTTCCAATAAACATCAAAGATCCGAATAATGGTGACTCTTGTAATCCCAGTAAGTATGCAATCAAGTATTCTGGTGAAGTGCGTGGTATAGAAAAAATGCACACTCACCAGATGCGCAGTATGTTAATAAGTGGTAATCAGCCAGAGGTCCCTCTATGATAGGATGGAGTACAGCCCGGGATGGATAACCCTCCTCTGGAGTCTGGGGTGGTAAGAAGTCAGCCAGAGGTCCCCTTTAGGATAAGCTGGAATGTGGCAGATCTCCCTCCTCTGGATAGTGGGGTGGTCACCTGGGTTTCTGGGGAATTAAATGCTCGGTGCAGAGAAGAAAGTGATATTGCCCATAATGTAGTAATTAATGCCAAGTTTTATTAAAGTAAATGTTAAAATTCTAGAAAACATTCCATAGGTGCAGGAAATACATGCAGCTTAAAACTGCTTGATGACTAACCAGCTGGTAAGCAAAGATGGCAGCCGGACCTCCGTGATCCGGCAGCGTGACTTCACGGCATGCAGACTCCTCCTGCAGGAGGTCCGGCGGCCATCTTTGCTTACCAGCTGGTTAGTCATCAAGTCATTAACCCAGTTAGTCTGGCTGAAAAAAGACAAAAGTCCATCCTGTTCAACCATTAACAAAAAGAAAAAAGTTATAATCCTATACCCACAGTTGATCCAGAGGAAGGCAAAAAAAAACAGCAAAGCATGATCCAATTTGCTCCTGCAGGGGAAAAATTCCTTCCTGATCCCCTGAGAGCAGGGCGGACTGACAACTCATGGGGCCCCCGGGCAATAGGGGATCATGGGGCCCCTGTGTCCTTGCCCAAACTCAAAAAAGCCTATGAAAAAGGTACCAGGGGCATCTCATGGGGCCCCCTACTGACCCCAGGCCCTCAGGCAGTGCCCGAGTTTCCAAATGGTCAGTCCGTCCCTGCCTGAGAGGCAATCGGATATTCCCTGGATCAACTTTACCTATAAATGTTAGTATCCAGTTATATTCTGGGTATCCAAGAAAGAATCCAGGCCTTTTTTAAAGCAATCCACTGAGCTGGCCAGAACCAACTCTTGAGGGAGTCTATTCCACGCTTTCACAGCTCTCACTGTGAAGAAACCTTTCCGTGTTTGGAGATTAAATTTATTTCCCTCCAGACGTAAAGAGTGCCCCCTTGTCCTCATATGCCATCATATCCTTTGATACTGTACCTTGGGACACAGTAAATAAATTGGCACCTTCAGTCACAGAGGCACCAGCTAAGCAGCACCAACAATTTGCCTTAATTGAAACTCAGTAAGCTCTGACATGCTCCATATTACTAGCAACACAGCTAGGTGTCTCATCACACAGCGGAAGCAAAAAAAAGTTATATCACTTACGTTTTCAAGGCAAAACATGTCACTTTCACACCTGTACACCATGTAGTGTTTCCATAATTGTGTCCAACCCCTGTATATAACGTATGAGAATAAAATGGATATGACTCTAGTTTTTAGGTTTCATTTCTATCTATATGAAGGAGGCTGTTTGTTAACAAATGTTGTGCTTCCAAGATTGATAAAATATAAAGAGTTAAGCTATAAAGCCAATCATAGATTTTTAGGCTAATTTTATACATGATTCTGTTAAGCCTCTCAGTAAAAACTCTGTAAATCCGAGGCGTCTGAACTGCAGCTGCTCAAAGCAATTTTTTAATCGTTATCGGAACGTACAGTTGTGAACCTCAATCACTCCAACCTCCCTTCCAGCAGGCTGCTA